ACCGGAGGGCTACAAATTGCCCCCCCCCCCCAAAAAAAAAAAAAATTAATGAATTGCACAAACGTTTCTAATTGCAAAGAGACTTAGAGAACCAATTATTAGTCTAACTTTGTAGCATCCAATAAATGTACTCATTTAAAAAAAAATGATAATACCGATTCTTTCCAGATGAAACGAAATCCAGTAGAAAAGCTTTATTTAATGAAATGACAAGATATGACAACGTTTTATTTTTCTTCTATTTTCATCATCAAAGGTAAGACTTTTGTGGTTTAAAAAATTATAGGAGCTTAGTCAATTACACGTCATTATAAGTGATGCACTGTTTTCTTAAGTGTTTTGGAAAACTGTAGACAGATACCAGATAAAATTTGAAGTGTACAGTTTTGGTATAGCTCTTTAAAAATGTTTCACTAAGTAGAACACTGCTGACTTCCTTTCTCCGAAACTTAACAGTATAAATCCTGGTCACGTTGATAAAAAGAAAATTGCTATAAAATTCTCTTTTTAGTGTATATTGTCCTATTTCGTATATTTGCGTTTTATTACATGGAGTGATGCAAAAGAGTAAATAGAAAGGTATATTTACATCCATTTTACATTAAAGGTAATTATTTGAAAAAAAAGGTCAAATTCCAACATACATGAACGTGGGCCAATTCATAAGTATTGTCATAACTGCGATAAAATTGATAACAGTCAACATAGAAACAAAATAATAATAATAATAAAATCTATATTTATATCAAATCAGATCTGAACATCTCATTTCGAAATGATCTACTTTAAAAAAAAAACGCATTGTATACAATGTGCGATGATGGTAGTCGCCGCACCTAAATAATGTCATAAAACGGATAGGCGCAGTCAAAAATCTTACACTTTCCCTTCATTTCCCTTTGAGATTCACGGACATGTGCACATATTTCATTTTCTTTTAGACGGCTTGGCAACCATCATAAACTCATTTTTTTCATAATTAAGTTATCTGTCAAAATTTGAATAGTACCATAAGACAAACTTTAAGGGCTGTATATCACTTTATATAACAGTTACACGCACATCTTTTAACAACATCAGACACTAGTTTGACGTTTTCGTCCGACCTTTTTTTCGGTCTTCCTGTCCTGTGTTGATCATCCAGTGACCCAACACCTCACAAAACGCTAAATTTATCTAAAAGCAAGTCTCCAATTTACCTTCTTTTCACTGTAAGTCTGATTAATCAACACAACTGTCTATACTGGCGAATTCCCATTTTGAAACAGAAATGCTTTACCGCTCACTGCGGTGGTTTTTCCGATTTATGACATCTCCTGTCATCAATGCATAAGAGTAAAAAAAAAACAGTCACTGTATTAATAATCGAAAATGGCAATGATTTGAATATCAGAAAAATAAAAAAGATAAGATGTAAGCAAACCAAGTGCTAAAAATAAATATGCCTTTTGATATTTTTTCAATATATTTGTGAATAACTGGCGTGGTATGAAAATTTAACTAATCTAAACATTGAAGCATCAAGAGTTTGTTTTACGAAAGGTATTTTTTACTCTAAATGCAGATGTATGAAAAATCAATAAGAGTTCATTGTTTCCAATGTCTGTCACTTTTCAACCAGTACATGCTTTGTGCAAATTGCAAGGAGATGAGATATTTTAGTAACCAATATACCAAATGTACGTGCAAGCATATCCAACACACGTACGAATCCTGCATTGACTTAAGGAATGACAAAACAGTATGATACGGTGTACAATGTAGTTTTTAAAAAAAATATATAAAAGATATATATATAACCATCAATAATAAAACGTCTATTCAATGTTTGGAGGCTATGAACAGTAACCCTACCACGTGGATTTTGCACAAGAAATTAATCTTTGTTCTTAGAGAGTATAATTTAAAACGTAAAACTTTTTTCATATTTTTTTTTTCCTGTTTTGAATCTGTAATTGTAATCATCTATTGAATAAATGTATTTTATTTGAGTACTTGTTAAACCAAAGAGTGTACAAATATATTTCAGTTTATAATCTTTACTCTGATATTGGTTGCATGGTTCTACTTTATTGACGGAAAAACTTCCACTTAATTGCCCGTGGTATTACACTGATGCCTGGATGGGTGTTCTTGAATGGGATTTTAAATTGAGCATACCTGTACATAGCATCCATCAAAGCAAAATTGTTAACTCTTCACCTAATAATCATTCAACATGAAGTAAAGAACCATGCCGCAAACGCACTCTTTGTCAAGCCGTGTAACATCCCTTGTAAACTTACAGCACAAATAACGTAACAAACAGATAATGATATCATGAAATACTATGAAAAAGGCAAAATCAATTCAACAAAAACCACTGTTATAACCAGTTGTCTTTCCTCTGATCATCTAAAAAGGACAAATAAATGCTGAACTGTCAAAGATATCAAAACAGAAAATTGCATCTCTCTTCGTTTCTTATTCTTCGTGATGAAAGGATTAATAAATACAGAGCAAATCAAAGTCTTCCTTAAACTCTTTTCAAAACCTTCATTAACAATTGTTTTCAGTTTGTCGAAAACAGGTGCAATTTTCAAGACCAAAGTACAAGTACAAATGCTACAAGCATAAATCTACATTCACTTGAGTAGATCGTAATGTGAGGGTTGACTGAATTGTCCAAGTTCTTGGTAACCTGTATTATTCTCAACTCTGTCATATGTAGTTGTGTTTGGTGTGTTAGGATCTTGTGTTGGATCCTGTTCTTTACGTTCCTTCTTCTGTCTTTTATAAATGGTTTGTCTGACATTCATATGATATAAGTAGAAAAAAAAAAAACTTTATGAATTGTAAATAGCTGTAAACAAAATAAAAATTTATTGCCAATTTTAATTTTTTTATTCAATTTATACTTTTAACTCCAATTGTAGACTTAATAAAAAAACAAAAAAACTCACCGAACAATGAGGAATGTGTTGAGAGAAATGCTTATAAAGAGAACTGTTGTCACAACGTAAAGCGCTGATGTTGTCAAATTAGAGTTTGAATTTTTCTCTGACGATTGCTGGTTTACTTAAATTTAAAAAAAGGAAGCATGGAAATAATTAAAAGTGTACATTTCTTATTTAGACGATGTTAAATTTGACAGAGGAGTTATTTTGAGAACATCACTATTTTCACTAAAAGGGAAACAAAAAATAAAGTTCCGATAATTGACCACAATTTTACTAAATTGTTCATGAACACCTTTAGATGCAATTCTAATTTATCATAGTTCTTTTGAATATCCTCTTTAATTATCTTATAAGACATATATTACTTCAATAAGAAATTCATCAAGGTACTTATATTAAACATGTATTTCAGTTTGCACATCCCCCGCATTAATGTAAACCCTTTATTTGCGTGTGAGAAATATTCGCGTGTATCACGTACTTCTTAACTGACAAATATTTGTTGCCGGAAAGCAATTATTTCTTTGAGATCTGAGAAGAAATATGTGGAGATAACGAACAGTATTCGAGCTCAAAAGTCCATTAAACATTACAGAATAAGAGACGAGCAAACACGGACCTCAAACTTCAGAGGTGGGATCAGGTAACGTGGAGGAGTGAGCATCCCCTGCCGACAGGTCACACCCGCCGTGTGCTCCTTGTCATGATCGGGAAATAACGGTAAAACCGTCGACAATTCAGTGTGTAAATAATGGCCAAACAAATAGTATGGAAAAAGTCAGTCAGCATTTGACATCATGATAAATTGGATTGTATTTGCTGACAAGGTCATTGTATCGACCATAGAACTTACGAAATGACGACTTTAAACGAGACTGTCAAGAATGTTTCCTCAGTCGTGAGAATTAAAAGTCACAACTGGGTTTAAAACTGATAAATCATAAAAAAAAAATGCCGCCAACAATAGTTGCTTTACAGTTACTCTTAATTCTATCTTTAATTATTATATGAAAATTAGAGAAGGAGAAATCTTGAAAAGTATCACTCATCAAAAAATTGTGCAGGTAGGAGGTTATTTTTTGATTTGCACAAAATATTTCTCATTTACTTTAGTTATTATAAATAATTTTGATTTGATTTATATTATTTCTACTATAAAGGGAACCAACAGTCATTTCTATCATACTGATGATGATTAAAATGACTTTTTTCACCTTAAGGTACGTTTCTGTTTCCTATAATTTTTATATATTATTTGATCTGTGTGGAATATGTCTTCTTTTGACTTACTCACTTATTAGATTAAATATAAAGAACATACACCTTAAATGAAAGTATCTCAAACAAATTCCAGTGGGAATTCGTAAAGTTCCCGAAGTTTGTTTGTTATTTATTCCACGTCCCTTTCGAGAATTTTTCACTCGAATTGCCGTTGGAGGCCTAGGGCTGCAAGTTTTAGACCTATAATCGGTAATCAGGGTCTTTTAGCCGTGAGAGATTTTTTTGTCCCACTACCTACTGTGACGTAGAATATAATCTCAGTATATATTGTCTCATCTCAAGGACTCGTCTCTACGTCCCGTAGTGGGATATAAACCTGCGACATATGGAACAAATTCGCAATCTAGAGCAAACGCTCTACCACTGCGCCACGCGGTTGTACATCGGTAAGGGCATTGCAATTTCTACCTAAATATATGGAGTGCAGGGCTGTTGGATGGAGTGTAACTTTGACTTTCCCGCAGAAGATACTTGACGTATGTCTTATATTTTAGTAAATAGAGTCAACAGCAATTAAACAAAAATAAAATCTTAGGAACAGACAATCACCTATTATTCTTTCCATGTAAAACAGAGAGGTTTTTTCCTTATATATAATTAACAATTCTTTAAATTTAAAATCAATCTATATATAAGGATTTCATTTTTTTGAAATTTCTTAATTAAAAAAAAAATCAAAGATGTATCGATAATTATCGAAAAGTCGAATTTTTCAACTCGGATATAACGGTTAACTATAAATAAATCTGACGTTAAAACTGTAAGTAATACATCGTTTACCTGTACATTTTTCATCAATGTAGTCGTCTTTGCACCCTCCTATACATGATCCATTCGGAAAACAGGTTCCGTTAAGACAACCAATGCTACATTTGTATTCACACAGTTCACCGTAGTTGTAAGGACTACAGTCTTATGAAATTAAAAAAAAAAAAATTAACAGTTAAGGAAATGCAAAATATATATATATATATGTTCATTGTGTAACAATATACGAAATTTATTCTCAGACTGAAACAAAGATAAATATTCTTCCGATTCAAAACACCAGTGATTAATCAGTTGTTCAAAGGAAAGAAATGAAATGGGAATTTAAAAATATATATAAATATAGTAAAATGTTTCATCTGACACCTTTGCAATCCTTTTCAGTGTGAATTATTACTTTTATTTTCAATCCAACATTGCTATTTTCTGTGGTTAATTATAGTGCTGAGTATATGTTACACTTCCTGTCTATTCTCACACGAAACATTGATCCCAGTGCTTGTCGGAATGGATGAAATTTACTGAATGCATGAAGGGAATAATTTTTTTTTCATTTTCTAGTATCTCTAAAATGACCCCCCCCCCCCCCAACCAACCAACCCCCCCCCCAACCCCCCAAAAAAAGAAAAAAAAAACTATGTTTTTGAACATTTTTTCCTTTACAAAAGGTCTCTTGCCATCCTATTCTACAAGTACAACTCCCATTGTTTCGAGCACAGCTGAAATTGCACCCTTTTCCACATTTCTTTTGACAAGTGGCTCCAAATTTTCCAACAACACAATCTTCGCAAACACCATTGTCTCTGTGGCATCCATTTCTACATTCAGGGTAACATGTTTTATTGCAGAAAGTTCCATATTTGCCAACATCACAAGTTCTTTTACAATTGCCACTATCTCTGTAACATCCCGATTGACATGACGCTCTACACTTTGCGGAACAATCAAATCCATAATGCTTTAAGTCACATTCTACAATTTGGATATCACATTTAAAGGTTTCAATCAATATAAAAATAACATCAACGAAAAGTTACTGTGGTTCTGTATGTATGTTCTTTGGAACTTTAAGTTATCAAAGCCATGTAATATTTACATTCATTTGCTTTACTTTAGGTACATGACTTTGTACACTTCAGAAAATTGCAATCATCCATGTCATTTCATATATCTTTATATTTAAACTACTCATAAATGTTCTATGTTTATGCATTCAGTTTCATCACTTAAGGACAGACAAACAAACTTTTATCAGAAATCTTCAAAGTAACAACTTAAGTCTTGATTATATATGTAAAATGAACAAGTTTAACGGCACACGAATATTTTAATTTTTCTTTCAAAGTTTCACGAAAATTGGAGTTCAAGTGACAAAAAAATGATAAGATTAATAAAGATGGATGCATAAAGGTTGAATGTTAACATAGCAAAGTTTACAATTTCTTAATATTTTAAACTTTTATTAATCGCATCATTGACAATCGAAATAAGTCCAAAAATATATACATTTCCAGGCATCTATTTGTTTTAATGTCCTGAAGAGAAATATTGTAGTTATCATGAAAGCTTGTTCAAAGACTCAAGAAATTAATTCTTACCATTACATCTAATTCCTACCCAGTTTGATCTACATCCTCCAACACAAGTTCCATCGATGTTATTACACCCAGCTTGAGCACAATTGGGACTACATGACATGTTGCAGAAGGAACCATAATATCCCAGCTCGCAACCTTTATTACACTGGCCGGTGTTCTGGTCACAACTTATTGAAACACAATGATCATTGCAGATTTTCCAACATAGAAATCCTAACTTCCCTTCTCTGCATCCAAGGCAATACCCATCACTTTTTCTGCATGTCAAATTAAGACAAGTTCCACTACATTGTTTATCACATTTGTCACCGAAATATCCTACATCACAGGCATCGCACAATCCATTGTTTCTTTCACATGTATCAGGGTTGCATTTACCACAGTTTATATCACAATTGTTACCGTAATACCCCGCAATACATCCGTTTGTATAAAAACCTGTCTTTTCACACATTTGCCCATTACATGTAGAACAATATATGCTACATTACATTGCTCCCCATAGTATCCCTGCATGCAAGAAAGGCAGTTTCCATCTCCTTTATTGCACACGTTACTTAGACATTTTGAATATTGACAGGGATTCTTACAATTTCTTCCCCAGAATCCCTTGAAACATGCACCGTTGCAGTTACCATATGCGTCACAAGCACTCTCTACACAATTTATGCTGCACGCTATTGAACAGTACATTAAAAAAAAAAGTAATTAAATTTTTAATAATCAGCAAAATCTGTTTTGACTCATTTAAATTTTCCTTTTTTTTTTCTCATTAAAAAGCCGATTAATCTGCGGAGTTTTCTAGAATAGCTTTAAAAGTAAGCAATTAATATTTTCAACAGAGTTTGAGTAAGGTTAAAGTTTAAAAGCTGTAGATGTCTTGGCTAAGTAGTGTAGGGTAAAATTAAAAAGTTGAAAGAGTAACGAGTATCAATACACATATCCTAATACAAAAACGTAATTTTAATTAAATGCAGACAATGATATTGACTAAATCAGGGGTCAAGTTCAAAGCTATTATTATGATTTTTCATATGACCAATTAGATACCATGACTACAAAAAAGGTTACGTTCTGACTAAATGATATTGTGAAATTGGAAATTGCTCGATCGAGTCTTAAAGGCTGTGAGGAAACTTTGCCAAGGTCAATGTCAAATATAGTTATTAAAGATGAGGGCTGTTTTGAAATTTTGCAACCTTAAAATACTTTATGTATTGTACAGACGGAAATTGGTTTTAGAGAGATCTCTTAAATTTAAGGATAAACTTTTTTGTAGGGTTTGGCTTAATTTATCATTATTACGTAATGATTTTAACATTTTGCAACCATTTGACTTTGAATGTAGGGAAATGCGAAAAGAATATTCCAGTGGTTGAATTAATACTCATCATTAACTTACGACAACCATTTTCAATGTCACAATTCTGACATCCTCCACAGGATGAACAAGATGATCCATAGAAACCAACATTACAACCTTCAAAAGTGAATGGAATTCAAGAGTAATTCTAATGCTTCTTTCATATTAAAATGTATTTGTTATTTAGGAAACTATAATAGAGATTTTATTAACGGCAAATCTTCATCGAAATAAATATTATTTAACTGATAATGAGTAAGAGAAATCAGAACTTTACTCTCACTGTAAATGATATGCAATTCCTACCGTAGACTATTATTTCACACACTTCTAGGATAGCTCCAGCAATACCAACATAATTATCTTCTGTGGCGTCATACTTTGTTGCAACTCTTACGTATCTGGCGGATTTTTTACACGTTATATTTTGTATACTTGAAGGTACAGCAGGAAATTCTGTTGTATCCCTGTGGCACGTAATCCACTGTGATGTATTGCCCCCTTCAGTTACAGCTAACTCAAAATTCCGAAATCGATATGGTTTCCAAGAACCTGTGAAATATGATTTCTAGGAAAATATGTTTGGAACATATAGGATATATATAAGGGTATTTTAGAATAAAGTGTTTGTAAGAGCCCCATTCGGCAGTCACGGGGTTAGGGTGGGGGGTCTGACGACATTCCTCAATTATTTTCTGAAACACGTATAATAAGCGTATATATATTTTAACACGAACAGAATTCTAACTTTTCCGTTGCCTCATCGTTGAGTTTTTTTTTACTCAGGATTTTCGCTTTTTTGGGGTTGTGTGTCCAAAGTGAGGAACACAAGAAACAAAACAAAGAAATACTTTAATTACTTTCATTTCTGTAGTAGATGACAATATTCTTCAATTCATAAACTCTCCCTAAATCGACTTTAACAAATGCCGAAAGTTGACCAGGGGCAGTTTGGGAACAACTTATGTAGTCCTGATTAACATTCCCATCTATGACTTTATATGCTCTAAGGTCTCCATATGTCGTGCTCATTTCTGCATAACATTTAGTATCTCTACATATTTCTTCTACAATGATAAAACAGAACATACTTATTTTTGTGTAGATATTCTCTGGAAAAAATGCAATGATCTGGGAAAATAAAGACAAAATGATTTTTCTGAACTTGCTATATATATATATGAATTTCTTTGTGCTTTCTATATCAGTATTTCTTTTCTTACGGCAGTTAAGTTTGTTTAAGAGTTGTAAAATGTGTTTTATAAATAAATATTAATTTCATTAAAACGTATATTGGTAACGATCCTCTAATAAAACTAATGTCCAAGTAACTGTATCTCGCTTTCCATTCTCAATGACCGTGTAGTGTAGAGCAGCGCCGCGAGAATTCCATCGGCATCGAAAGCAAGTTTTTTTGACTTGCCTAATAACCGAGCGGTCTACCGCGCTGTTCCTGTACTGCTAGGAGACAGATTCCGTAGGTCGAGAGTTCAACCCCGGGCTGGAGCGGAAGTGGGTATCCTTATAAAAGTGAATTTCTTTGTGCTTTCTATAAGAATATTTCTTCACTTAGGGCAGTTATGTTAGTTTAAGAGTTGTTGTAAAATGTGCTTTCTAAATAAAGATTATTTTCATTACAACGCGTATTGGTAACGATCTTCTAATAAAACAGTATCTCACTTCCATTCTCAATGACCGTGTAGCGTAGGGCGGCGCCGCGAGAATTCCATTGACATCGAAAGCAGTTCTTTTTTTTTGAATTGCCAAGATAGCCGAGCGGTCTAGCGCGCTTTTCCTGTACTGCTAGGAGACAGATTCCGCAGGTTGAGAGTTCAACCCCGGGCTGGGGCGGAAGTGGGTATCCTTATAAAAGTGAATTTCCTTGGGTTATATATATATATATATATATATATATATATATATATATATATATATATATATATATATATATATATATATATATATATATATATATATATATGACTGTCTTTATGAGAAAAGGGCCCTTATGGTCAAAATTTCACAAATTGACTTTTTGGTAAATTTCGTATTTTCTAGGCACGATGAAGTTGCTCTCAGCACTTTTCATGTTAAGGGATTTTTCTCATAGAAAAACAATCAATTTCACAGCGAAAAAGTATCCGTATATTGTTAAACTTTTACGTTCTGTGTGGTCGT